CGCCTTTGGTCGGGTAGGGGTTCTTGCGGTGCTCCTGCAGCCAGGCCTTCAGCGTGCTAGTGGTCTCCCGAGTGGCGTTTTTCCTCCGCGTCCCTCCATCCATGGTACCATATCTAGGGCGGGGGGGAGAGTGTCAATGAAAATGCAGCGCCAACGAGCCGGAAGAAAGCACCACCCACTGTGCCCACATGGTCTGATTCACCGACGCAATTCCATTTCCCGCGAGAAAGGGATCCTGGTATCCAAGGTTCACCTTTAAATATTTTCCCTCTTTCTACAAAACCCAGAACGCGCTGGTCTTACCAGGAAAACGGTTCAGCTTGGTTAAGCCAAGCAGCTAGAAAGACGGGAGCGTTTGGATACACAATTGGTGATCAATAGGACCTTAACCAGCTTGCTATCCTGCCTACACTTACTTGGGAGTAAATCCCCCTTGAAAATGGGGTCGCACAGTTAATCTTGGGATTTAGGCTCGCCTCGATCATGGATGGAGTCTTTGGGACTTGCCTCGCAAATAGGGCAAGACCAATGTACTCGGGGCAAGACCAATGTACACCTGATCTAAATCGGGAGTATGGACAGCCTCAAAACAACGGCACTCGGGCTCCTGAAAAGCGTGCTGCGGATCTTGTACACGCTTACTCTGAAGTGAGTCCCGGTGACTTCTGAGTTTGCACCGGATTGCAGCCTGAAAGCATGTCTACTTCAGAAGGCAAACAGCCGCCCTTGGGAGGCGTCCAAAATTCAACTCCTGCGAAATGGATATGCTAAAAAAATTATATATATATATATTTAAAGTCTACTCTTGCTCCAGCGCTCTGAGAGAGTCCACCGAAGTAACCTCAGGGCGCAGTTATTAATAAAAAATACTTATTTTATTATTAGTAAATTTCTCTCCTACCCATTCCATATATATATGCTGCACAAGACACTGGGCTATACCTGAATATTTAATGCACACCATCTAAGGAAAGGTCATCGGCACCCAGTAGGCTTAAAAGGTTGGAACAGCGTAAGGAGGATTCTTGGTGTGTGTGTTTTAAAGCAATAACCGCACCAAAGATTAAAAAAAGAAGAAGAAATATAAAATTGATCGACACACTTGTAAACGTGGTGGGGGAGTGCCAAAAAGCGGCCCCCAATCTGCCCATGTAATAGTAAAAAGAGAAGCCAGTAGGAGATGAGCGAAGATTTTGGTTCACACGTGCCAAATGATGAGTGAAAGGCCAAATGATGAGTGAAAGGTCTTGCTCGTGTGAACGAACCATCGCGAGCTCAACAGAGGCAGGACTTCCTGGCATCTTAAACGCCGTGTTGTTCAACGGGACCAATTCATACTTTTAACAAGGGCTGGCTCATTTGAGGTTGGCTACCTCAGGGGCTAAAGAGTCGTCAAAAATAAAAGTCTCGGAAAGAACTTCTCTTTTCAGCAGAGCCGGTTTCATGCGTTCAGATCCCAGTTAATGAAGTGTGCCCTACTCAAGCGGAGAGAAAGGATGCGCGTGCACGTGTGATGTAGCCCGTGGAAACCAGTCGAGAAGAGGTATTTGTGATTAAATCCATACGGATCTATTGCTGTGATAGCGCAGATCTTATCGCATAGATCGAGCGCTAAGGCAACCACAGCGCTTTCCTACTATCCCTGGACAATAACCACCAGCTTATAGGGATGCTATACTTGAAAAACGCCAGTGATAGGAGTAAGTCGCTAGAGGATAAAACGCCAGTGATAGGAGTAAGTCGCTCGTGTGACTTCGCCTTGCCTTCAGATATATTGCGTTCCGCCAGTGAAGGCGTATCTTCCTTTCTCACTTCGTACTTTGGGTATCAAAGCCCACCATTGGACTTCCGCATGTGCAGAACCAGGCTGTATCCTGGCATACGAGAGCTAATTGAGATCGACTCCGTGAACTCTTTCATCAGGTGTAGGGAAACCTCCCCCCCCCGCGCGCGCCAGACTACAACTCCCATCAGCTCCAGCAAGCATAGCCACTGACCAGCGATGATGGGAGTTTAGCAACACCTGAAGCAGAGTTTCCCAAAGTCGGGTCCCCAGCTGTTTTTTTGGGACTACAATTCCCATCATTCCTGACCATTGATCCTGCTAGCTAGGGATGATGGGAGTTGTAGTCCCAAAACAGCTGGAGCCCTAACTTTGGGAAACCCTGGAGGACCAAAAGTTCTCCACACCTGATTAAGATCAAGGATGGAGACGAGGCTTTCCCCAACCGGATGATCTATAGTTGTTGTTGAACTACAACTCCCATTATCGAGTTGGCCGGGCTGGCTGACGCTGATGGGAATTGGAGTTCAACAGAGTGGAGGGCCGCAGGCAGATCCGCTTACTCCTTCGTAAAACGGATCGGGTCGCAGTATCGATCTCCATTAATCAATGAGGACTTGCTTCCAAAGAAATATAGCAAGGAGAGGAGGGGTGTCATCCAGATTAAGATCGGGCTGGCAGACGAATGAAAGAGGTCAAAAGGAAAATTTTCGCATTTGCTGTGGGCTCCTCCAAAACGAATCGGAGATTAGAGGCGCAAAACTAGCTCCGGATCCGTGCAGAAGAACGAAGAACAGGTTCATTTCGTGTAGACAACGCGGAAACATAACTTGTTATTGGCATTTATAGAGATAAAGAGCGGACGCCATTAAAGCTCCATTTAAAGCCATTTCTTTCTTTCGGGAATGCGCTGGCTTTTAGGCGCCTTGGTTTCTCGCTGGAGTCAATGGGGTCTGAGCCGATGCAGGGCAGGTTCACACGTGCACGCTACACCGATTCCTCGTGCCTGATTTGGTGAGCAGCCTCTGCTGAAAAGCGCGGCCGTTCTCAAGGAGGCGCGCTTCGATGCTGGCTTCGGATGCGTTCAGGATCCCGTCTTGCAAGGGCTCCTTTGGTGAGATCAGAGATCATCTGACTCTGATACAGGAGCGGCTTATTCTGGCCACACTTGTTTCCTACTGGTCCTTTGAGAAAAGCACAAGCTGAAGACGTTTCCTGATTAAGAAGCGCAACTAACCTCCTCTCCTCTCTCCCCCTCCTTGGCCCCCACCGCATTTTCCTGCCCCTCAATGAACGGCTGATGGTTTGTTTCTTACCTGTCATATTGATACTGACTGAGCGTGTGGTCGTATGGATAGTAGGCAGCCGCCTGGGTGATTCCCGCATGCGCAGATCCGCTCCCATCCTTCGAATCAAAGCTGTTCTGGAACAGGAAAAGCAAAGGCGTCTTCTTATCAGCGCTCCCCTCCCCCACGGGCAGTGCGGGGGGGGCAGGAAGGGAGGCACGCGCAAATGGACACGTTTTTATTTATTTTTGCAGTGGAGAAACACATCGAGGAGCAAAAAACCCAAAAATCCTCTAGCACATTTTCAAAGCTAAACAGGATCCGGCTTGATTTCAAATGGGATGGGAGGCCACGTGTTGAGATTCCTGCATCGCAGGGGGTTGGGATAGATGACCCTCGGGGTCCCTTCCGACTCTTCACTTCTGTAATTCTATCAGGGGGTTAAACTTGGGCTGCAAACTTGGGCACAAGTCCCACTGAACTCAGTACAGCTTACTTCCGAGTAGACTGGCATCGATTGTATTTCAGCAGGTGCGTACATTTCTTCAATTCCTGTATAATGGACTTAATTGGAGAGGAACACGAAGTTCCTTGTACTCTTGTCCACTGACTCAGTGTTAGCATCTCTTGGCCCGATTTGATGCACGTTGACTCACAGGAAACCTTATTTTTCTGCAATGGAATTTACTCACAGGAAAGCTGGTTTAGCCTCTGGATTCCACTGGAGTCCACTGCTTTCCTTCATCCGACTAAGAATGGTATTTTATGCACACTGGGCTCCAATAACAAGTGACTAGGGATAAGCAAGGGTCAAATATCACCTAGGGCAGTGATGTCCAAACTTTTTTTTCCAAAGAGGGTCAGATTTGATGAAGTGAAGGGCCGTGGAAGCCGACCAAAGGGCCGACCGAAGTTGTTAACCTTTAGGATTGAAGTTGTCGAGCTTTTCTTAGAATTGGAGTTGTTGAGGTTTTTTTTAGGATTTTACTCCCTGAAACAAGTGCGAAACAAGGGCCCTCTTAAAACTGCAATCCTCAATAAACATACTTTCCTTAAAAAAAAAGGGGGGGGGGCAACTGCAATAAATGGGACGTGACCTGTTTGCCACACAGGGAAGTATACGAAAAGTTAATTTCTCTGCCAGTACACAGAAAGTCAGCAATGCCGCGATATCTTAGCGTTTATCGTTTATCTCTAATTAAGTAGTTGGATCGCAGAGATCAGCAGACAATAGTTTCTCAGAGCTTATTACCGCCTATTTCTAATTACTTAGTTGTAGGCTGATCTTCGTGTTGTTAGACACCTGAATTAGCAACGCCTATGATTGACTGAAGTTTCTCACAGCCCCGATTCATATTCACCTCGGATTACCCCATGGCACATAGACAGGTTACATAGCCGTTGGCCTTTTAAACAACCCATGGCCTTTTAAACTCTCTCTGTGGATTATTGTTATTGTTTGTTACTACGTTTTGTGTTTTTATATTGTAGTCCGCCCTGTGCTCCTCGGATGAAAGGCGGCATAGAAATTTAATAAATAAAAGAAATAGGAAACATTTTGTGTTTCCTCCAGCTTTGCTTGTACTAGTGATACATCTCTAACTCTATCTACACCTACACACACGTGGGGATGCACAGCACACACACGTTGCTATTAAAAAGTGCACAACTAGAAATTAAGTCCCGCTTAACTTGATGAAGTTCAGTCGCTTAGGGTCTCAGCCTTCCTTAATGTCCTTAGGGACTGGGTTGAGCGGTGAAGCTTCTAGCTAAGCTGTGACTCTCTCAGTTTGCTGACTTGGAAGAGCAAAAGTCCCTTGGTAATGGGGCAATGGGGTTTCCTTCTTGGCCAGTCAATGCGTTGAGGTGGAAGTCGTGCTCGCTGCGCAGAAGACTTACCAAGGAGTAGAAAGCCGACGCCTCCGTCCCGTAGGTCACGTAGTTGCCATAGCCTTGCGTGTTCGTGTAGGGACTCCCATAGACTCCCAGGGCAGCTGCCGAGTTGAGCTCGTGCCTGGCCGTGGCTAGCAGCCTGCTCTCGTACACGGGGCAATAGACGGGGGTCTGAGCCGAGGCTGCGGCCCCAGAGTCCGTGAGGGTCCTGCCGGTGGTCTCACAGCAAGTGGTCAAGGAGTTGGTGGTCATCAGGAACTAGGACGAGAGAAGACAGGGCAGTGATCTTAGAAGGGGCAGCTGACAGCCATGGCAACCAACAGGCCGATCTACCAACCAGTTCTAGCGAAGGCCGTTTTTGGTCCCAGATCAGTGAGCTTTCACACAACCCACTGACTCCCGTGTCCATTGGTTTTAATGAGCATCTCTTCTTCACGTTAATTAATCCGGAACAACCGCCACCCCTCTATCCGACCTCACAAAGGGCACAAACTCGGGACAGCGCGGTCCATCCGTGTTATCACACAGAAACGCGCGATGAAACGGTCGTCTGCAACCGCCCAGTCACTTGCAGAATCCTCAGCTCCCAAAATGGAGGGGGAAGGGGCACCCAGGCCGAATAGCGGAAGGGAAAAGCAGTGGAAGGAAGTGGCTGCAATCCTATACACGTTTACCTGGGAGCAAGTCCCATTGTGCTCAATGGGGCTGACTTCTGAATAGACCTGCATGGGATTGCGCCGTTAGTGATCTTAAATAAGTACCTTATATATTATGTTAAACCCAGTGGCTTAACTGGTTTGTGGATCGGGGAGAAATTTAAAGATCGGTTGGGGAGGGGGGAAACCTAGTTCCAGTTCACACTTGTCAACTAAAGAGAAAGAGAGAAAGAAAATACTTTTCAGTTTTTAATGCATTCTTCCGGCGAGCTAGACCGCTCATGTTAACATTAATACATACATCCGTCTCGGTTATAGAACACATTTATTTCCAAGTAAAAGTACTGAGAATGTTAATGAAGATCCTCTGCGAGAGCTACCGTAATTGAACATTTGTTTTAACTGCAGATTCCAACACCCACTTCTGTCCCAGAAGTTCGGTCCTGCTCTCTTTTAAGGGTACGATCCAGAAAGGAGCTGAGCCGAGGCCTCAGCTGATACAAGGCCCCTGACTGCACCCCACCCAATTTCCTGCTAAACGAAGTCTTTGCCCGTGAATCTGGCTTGAACCGGCCAGTTGTTGTGGTTGTTGAATCCTCTTCCATCCGCCCGCTTACTTCAGAGTAGGTCCGCGGACCAGGGGAACGAGCTGCTTCCTTCTTATCCCTTGCCCCAGTTCACCTCTGGGCAGTAAGTGAAACCCTCTGAGATCAATGAACACCTGAGATCTTTCCGTCTTCAGCGCGCTGCGGGAGTAATTTGTTGCAGGCTAGCTAGCACCCTTCTGAAACTAGAGACCTTCCAAATCTCAGGACGGGGCTCTCCAACCCAATCCTAAACGATACCCCGCCCCTTGACTCCAATTTAACCCCCACCCCTCACTGTTAACATTCTCACTCTAGGTCAAGGTCCTTCGATGAATCCAGGACAGGTGGACTTTCTAAACCAGTTCGTGGTTAGAGCACAGCAGCGTTAGGATACCAAGGCGACAGTCTCCCTTCTACCTGGAAGTAAGTGCCTTTGGTTTCACTGGGGCCTTACTTCCGCGTAAAGATGGCAGTCGCTGCTCTTGGGGAAGGGGGGGTTTCCATCCCTTCCCCCAGCCCCCAGTTGATCTGAAGCAAATCAGGTCCCTACAAAAGCGCCTTCCAGGAGCTGGGAATTCTCCTGCGCGCCTTCACAGCGGAGGGCAGCGAAAGGAAAGGGCGTAGATGCGATGGGAGTCCGGCAGGACTTACCTGGGGTGCAGACGAGTAGGGGTATCCGAACTGGGGGTAGGACATGGCCACGGGGGGATCCCAGGCTCCAGGAACAACCAGGAGAGGCGCTGGATCCGCGAGCTCCGCAGGCTGCCTCGCTGTGCCGTGTGGTCCCGAGTGATGGATAATCCGAGCTTCCTAGGGGCTTAGAGGACCAAGCATAAAACCATCTTGAATTCATCTGCCTTGAACCTGAAACTATTTTGTGTGTGTGTTGGGGGGGGAGAGTTTGTCTTCCCTCCCCCGCACAACACACACACGCACACAACTCGCGATCTTAAAATGATCTGCCTAGGCAGCGTGGCGCTTCTTCAACACGAACAACATAAAAGGCACGGTTGTTCTGAGGTTTCATGGGGGGAAAATACATATTTTGCCCACACACAGGCAGCGGCGGAGGGAGGGGAAGAGAACCACTCCTAGCTGAAACACACATGTCAAATCAAACATCTGACGTCAAGAAGGAGAAAAAAACAAACCCTACAGAAACTGCCTTTCGCTCGCATATTTGTGTGCACCTTTGTGGTAGACCACGGCCTGGAATTTAAACCAAATACCCAGGATGAAAGTTTGTTTTCCAACGCCTCAGAGCACGCTGGCTGATCGCTATTTCAGGGAGTTCTCCTGCGCTGATAAGGAAAGCCAACCTCGAACGTCCAACATGGCAAGTTCCTGAGTGGTTCATAACTGCATCTCAGATATCAGTAGTTTGGAGAGGAGAAATCAGTGTCGTCTCTCTCTCCCCCCCCCCCGCCCCGAATCACTGAAGGGTGGTCAGCACTTTTAATTAGAAATTAATTAATGAGCAGCTGCCTGCTGCTTCCTCCCACTCCTCCCTGCCCTCCAGTCATCAGTCCCACTTACAAACGAGGCCGCTGGAAGGGCAGGCGCGCAAGCGAGGCTTTTAAATCAACAGTTGAAACGAGCTCCGGAGCTGACAGTCAAAGCACGTGGATAAGGCGACTCTTGAAGCCCCGCCACCAAAGTGCACGTTAGGAAAGGACAAGGAATGGGCATTTGCGCTGAACGGACATTATGTTAGACGTTTTAGGCTTTAAAAACTTTTTGAGGTGGGGAGATATGGAAAACCAAAGCGAGGAGGGGCCACAACTTTGAATAAACTTCAGGCCATTGAGTGGCAGGGGGAGAGTGATCTTCAAGCTCAGGCCAGATCTGATTTGCAAAGCGAGAGCATCTATCCGTACTCAAAACAACAGCGGACATTTATACAGCATTGTACAATCTCCAAACTTCTTCGCATGCATTATCTCAGGAATCCTTACAAGAGCAATGCAAAACTGAGTGTTTCCAGGTACTTTTAAAAAAAATTGGGGCATGGGTCCAAATTCACATTAAAATTGCATGTGCTAACTTAAATGTCTATGTGCAGATATAGACAGCAAAGTCAACTAATTTCTCATCCAAGCCACTCTACTTAAAAAATCCAGTTAACTGGTACCCATTTCAGATGTGTTCCTCTTTAATTCATTTAACCAGTAGTAAAGTGAATTTCCCAACAGATCCTGCTTCAAATCAATTAAGCGCCCCTTCAATTATCCCATTTCATTGCCTCCAACTCATCTTAAGAGAAAGTCATCTTCAACTGATGTAGTTCCCCAAATTTACACCCTTATACCTCGAATTAATGTCAATTAAGACCAACCCTTTCATTTCCCCCTGAATTTATTACCCATTAGAAACACTTGGGGCATGGAGAAAAAGATCTGGGATCTGAGATACTTAGGCTCACCACTAGCTACAGCCTGGTCAGTATCCTGGTCTTGCAGTGTAGGACAGTTGCTGAGAGGGCTGTTGGCCTAAAACCTTTTAGCAAGTTCAGAAGGGAGGGGATTTTCTGGTTCATAGTCTGTTTTCCCCGCTACCTGTGCTAAGGTAACCCTCAAACTCTCTCTTAATGGTTTTGATTTTTTGTTGTGTGGGAATATACAAGTTTTCTAGGTAGGTAGAATATGAAAACTAGTTCATATTTTTTTAATCAGGAGACTGACCAAAGAATGCCACCCCAATTGTAGTTGTGATTTCCTGGAATTAATATGGCTCCCCATATTGTCAAGCACTCTACCCTTCCTCTGGTGTGCCCTCTCTCACATGTCCAATGATCCCCTCAGATCTCTGACAGAGAAACAATAAATCAGCTTTGTCCCACCTGGCTTTCAGTCCTTAATTTAAGCCACATTTTCCTGAGTGAAATAAACGTGGTTCCCTCTCTGTGTCATACAGATTCACTACCTGTGACAGTCAAACTTCCATACAGTTTTATCAAACTGTGCCCCTTTCTTTCAATGTCCAGCTGGTATCCATTAGCTCCCCAGAATCCCAATGTCCAAGAGTCGCTAGTTTATAGTATAACATGAGATCATAGAACAGCACTACCTCTCTTTAAAAGAAACTCTGATACTTGACCAGAGATTCTGTTTGAGAGCAGAAGGCAGAGCTAGGCCTTTCCTTAGTCCCTCCCTTTTCGCACCTTTGGATTATCTCTGGCCTCTTGTCCAAGATACATTCACAACAAGCCTTTTAAACTTCACATGAATTGGTCAAGAATAGTCATCGCTCCCACTTTTGAACTGGAAGAGAGGGGAGGGAGAAAAATCTACCTTTCCTGAAAGTATGCATAAAGTGTTTTAAGAGGTGGCTAATTTACTATGTGATCTGTGTATACACTCTTATTTCATTTTATGACTACAAATATAAGACTACACCAGAAAGTCATTTTCTTGGAGACTTATTAAACTGTAGATCGCAGATTTCTGCCAAAGCCTCTTGTTAGACCTTTTTATCCTACTAGGGAAGTTTAAGTGTTTAATGGGAGTGGTGCTTTAAATGTTTAATGAGAATGATATTTGGTCTTTCTTGATTTCTGTCTCTCGTTGTTAGCCCAAGTCGCCAGCTCCATCGCTGGAAGGAGCAATGCACATTTCATTGATGTTAGTAGCAAAACACCAATTAATTTTAATGGAGCTGGAATTTCTGTAATGCTGAGTGCTCTCTAGGGCTTAAAGGCCCACCCTCGATTCTTCAGGCAAGTCGGGGATCTCTCATTCTCAGTGTGTGATCCTAAACATTTGGATCCTTAAAGACTTTTCTGTAGTCTTCCTTCTAAGTGAACATCTTGGCCTTATCTGGAAAGAGCTAAATGCTCAGTAGGATGGTTTCAGATACTGCCATCAGTAAAGTGGGGTTAACAGAATACAATATTCTGGATGAAGGAACAAGGTAAAATCAGAAAGAATTTGGTACTTTAGAAGGTTCACCACAAAGATGAAAACTGCATTCAAAAGGCAAATACGCTGCAAATGAAGTTTTGTTTGGACTCACTCCCCATTTATGGAAGTCAGTTGCACGGAGGGTCATGGAAGCCCTAGGTGAAACCTATGAAAAGTATAGGACCCTATGCAAACTCTTGAGGGTTTGGCTGGGCTGAAGGTCTCTCTCTTTCTCTCCAGAGGATATTTACCATCTGTCCCATTTAGAGGGTAGTCCAGGATATAAATTCAGCAAAAAATGTTTGCTTTGAAGACAGTTCCAGTGTGATTGACTTCCGGCATGTTTATTAATCCTAAAGGATTAATTTACTTATAGTATTACTCTACTTAAATTCTAGTTCTGACCATAAAACAGCAGGGAATATCCAGCAGCAGTCATACTCAGGGTAGATAGAGCCTTAAGTCCAATGACTTCAATGGATCTACAATATTACTGCCATTGGAAATACCCAGGAAATCTATTTTTTGAAAAGTGATTTCAGGGAGATGAGCAAAAAGATTATTTTTAATCATTTTTTTCAAGGTGAGAGTAGACTCTTACCCTCCTTAGTAGCTCTCGCTAAATTCAGAGGAGCATTTACTTTGGGTTAAAAGAGAGAAGTTCTTATTAATAAGTTGGCATACCATTACTACTGGTTTCACCACCCCTATCAGTCCCCTTCACCTTGTCACCTTTATCTAGGCCTCTCCTGGGAAGTCCAGTACATATAATTTTCCTCCAGGACCTTTTGTGTATGTGTTTGTGTTGGGGAGCGGGGAGGGTAGGGGATATAGAAAAACCTCAGTCTCTGAAAATCGGGATACTCTGCCTAGAGAGGAACTTGCAGTGGGGAAGTTAGCCAGACCCAGGGCGGGCGAGTTTCTGTGCGTATTTGCGCGCGTGGAGAGGGGAGGGCAGCTGTGGCGGGGGAGGGAGGGATGAAAGGAGTGCAGACTTGCTCGGAGAGCTGCCTGGGTTCAGACATGTGAATAGCCCCAGGGTCACACTCTAATTAATGATGATGTTCCCTTCTTCTCCCCAGCTGGAAGACTTGGTGCCTCCCAGGGACGAATCTGCCCGCTCTGACAGCTCGATTGAGGGTGATGGATGACTATCTGGAGACCGCAGTACACCTAATATAATCATATCTGCTGCGTAATTGCTATAATTTACCGAGGCAAAGCCTTGGCTCTAGGAGGAGCGCGTTAGAAGGCAGCAAAGGAGCTCAGCAGCCCCTTCAAAAGAGAGGGCCACCCTGAACCTAGTTTAAGCGCGTTTACCTGGGAGTAAGAGGCACAAGGGATGTCTTCAGATTACCTGTGCTAGTTCCCTGGAACTTTGGTGAGACACTGGGCTCATCCATCCTGTCCTTTGATGTGGATAGTATGAGGGAAGGGAAAGTCTGGGAAGGCAGTGATTTTGGGGAGAGCGTCATATGGAATGAATGGAGGTGTTGGAAACTTAACCAGTTACATTAAACGACAGTGCGGACGACCACCCCTTTCCACTCGCATTGTATGTTTACTCAAATGAACAGGCCCTACTTCCAAAAGCCCAATTCCACGTGTGTGGTTTTTTAAACTTTAAAGCAAGTCCCATTATGGTTAGTCAGGAACTGAGACCAAACTGGGGAGGAAAGAGTTAACACCCTCTCAACCCCCCCCCAGGCTTCTGCTATCTCTCTCCGCTCCGCCTGCGGCTTTTAAATGAAAATAAATACATCTAGCACATGTCCAAACACAGATGTATCGCGCGCAATATGTGGGGTGTCCCACCCTCTAGTCCGCAAACAGGGTTGTGATCCTGCGCACGCTTGTCAGGGAGTCAAGTCCACTTCTGGGAAGCAATGACCAGAGTTGCACTGTAAAGTTTATTTGGGTAGATCGGGAGGTCGCAACACGCATGGGTGGAACTTTTGCGGAAGGAGGCATAAGATTGCAGCGGTTGTATAATATTTGCAGGGCGTATAAGCGTATCAGACCCCAGGAATCTCCGGCACGCAGATCACTTAAAGCGGCTGAGCGGTTCATGGCGGGCAGCTCCAGTAGTTTAGGGATCGCAGACGCTTTACAAATAAATGCATCGGGGGGGCGGGGGGGGCTGCTTCAAGGACAGGCTGTGACAATAATTTCTCCCCCCCCACTGCATTGCTAAAACTGTTTCTCCTCCTCGTAGCCTGCCTGTAGTTGACGAAGGAGCCTTCCAACCAGCCAACTGGATGGAGGAACCCTCTTTCAGAAACGAAAGCCAAAGTTTGCAAGTACTTCATGGAGACTGGGGATGGTGGCAGCTGCAGGTCTAGCCAGATTTACTCAGAAGGCACAACCCCAGTCGATGGAAGTAACTTCTAGGGAAATCAGCTTTAGAAACCGTGATCCTAAACAGGATGCAATCCTGTGCTCTTTTACCTGGGAATAAGACTTACCGAAACTCAATGGGACTTACTTTCGAGTAGACCCGCTTTTTAAAAACTAATAAATGATTGCACGAGGACCATCTCTGAAGATAAAGGGAAACCCGAGAGCCACGCAGCCTATACATTGCAGGTATACAATACCAGGAGATGGGGGGTGGGGGTGTTTACTGCAACACGCAGGCGCGTCGCCCTCCAGGGGACGGGGGCGGGGTGCAGCCTCCCAGATCTCCAAAGGAGTTCAGCGTTAAACGTTGCAATTAGCTGATGAAGCAGACGACTTTTACAGAGGATGGTGCAATGTTTCCCCCCCCCCTTCCGCCAAACCGCAACGTTGCAAATCCATCTTCACACACACACACACACGCCTTTTTCCACCGGGATCACCCTGCACTGGCAGACGGAGCAAAGAAGTTTCTCGCCCGTTTCTGGATCCATAACATAGCGTCTTCACCATGATCCATGCCATCCTATCCCGCTTCTAGACGAAATTTCCTCCCTGGGACCGTTTGAACTGCAATCCTTTACCCACGATAAACGCAGCAAGTCTAGGATCGCGCTGTTGGTTAGGTGCTCAGCAGAAATCAATGCGTTTTTCCCTCCTTTTTTTGCTAGGGACTTCCATAGCGTTCTACTACAAAGTCATGGTGGGTTACTAACTACTCGCCCTCGCCCTTGACTTCGGAGTAACAGCACGATCCGTGCTGATTGACTTGGGAATGTGTCTAATTAGGTGCAGTGGCGCCCCCCCTCCACGCCCCCGGTAAGTATCCATAGGATTGCAACTTTAGGTTTGTATCCTGAAGCACGCTTCCTTGGAAAGTTGAGGCGTTGGAATGAACGAGTCTCGTGCTTGAATAAACACGCGGAAGATCGGCAGGACTGGCTTCAACGCGCCTAACAGCAGGGTGCATGGCTCCAGCGCCACACACTCAATCGGAAGTCAGCCCCCAAAGCACAAAGTGGGATCATGATTCCCTCGAGTCCCTGAAATAGTTCTCCCCCATACAGCCTAAGTTCCCCTCTCCTCCAGCAAACACCACGCCAAGCTCTGCCCTGTTTCCAGGCTCCTCATAAGGGAGGTGAGTTTTCTCGCAAACGCCCCACTTTACCAGGAAAGACATTCTGATGAATTTCATTAGCTCCCCATTCAGCAGCAAAGCCAGAAAGTAACAGTGTCCTAAAGGCAGTCCCTGCATTTAGCAGCGTCCCTCGCTCACGGAGAGATCCAGGGACAGGAGTCTGAGCGCTATCCTGTGGAAAACAACAACTTTTGCGCATAAGGCAACAAGCTGACTTCTACACGTAACAGGGAGCAGCCAGAGCGAAGCCCTTCTTTTGCCAAAGAGACCACCCAGCGCAATTATCACAACGCAGCTCCCAAAATCAGAACGAGTGGGTGCTATTTCTTGAAAAACAACAGCAGCAGCCGCAACCAATACGCAGCATAGCAGAGCGAAGTGTGCAGCGTCTTCAGGGTTTAAATCTCTGCAGATTTTTTTCATCGTTCTTCTCCAAGAAACAAAAGCCAATGTCTGGTTTGTTTGTTTGTTTTTTTAATCCTCCCCAAGAAAACTTGAAAGAGGAGTGCAGGAGCAGGCCCTAGCAGGTTAGGTAGCTGCTCTGATTGAGGTCGGCAGGAAATTGATCTGGACACGTTTTGAGCAGTTAGAGAGACCATCGGGTTATTTTTGCCCTAAATTTCTCTGCCTGAATGGCCCAGGACTAACCACTTCCTCGGGTTCCGAATTACAATTTCTCAAGACACCCCTGATAAGGAAAGAATACGCCGCATCTTCGCCCCCAACCCCTACAAACACCCCCCCTCAACCAGCACCCAAAAGGCGACTAATAAACTAAGTTGCACTCCTGCGCATATTAACTTGGAGGCGAATCCCAAATAAAAGGAGTGGGACTTCCTCCCGTAAACACGGTTTGGATCGGGCCAGAAGGGTGTTAAAGAATCTGGAGCCCGCGACCTTGGAAAAACCTTTCCCAACGCTTTGGACTTCGGAGCTAGCGGCGCCTCTCCTGCTTTCCAGTTTGTAAAATGGATGAAAAAGCGTAAACTAGAAAACTGAAGGTATATCCTTGCCGGCGGCCTCACCAAACCTGACACTGGACTTGAACTAGCCAGAGACCTTCAGAGGGTCTAGGATCAACCACTGCGTGTGGACAAACTGGTTTTAGACAGGCGCCTGGTCAGACCTAACACAGAAGCCCCCTATTTTCACGCAAATATCCTCACGGACGTTTTTTTACCGTTTTATTCTCCCGGCCTGGCTAATAACCAAGGCGAATTTACTCTTGTTACCAACAACAACAAATCAATGGGATTCATTTGCCAATGTGTTTGGCTCCCCCCATTAAATCCCCCCTTCTTCGACTTACAGTAAGGAATCTGTGGCGCTTCTCCAAAAAAAACCCCTCCCCAGAGGACCAGGTTAGAAGGAGGACCCACCCAGTTCTTGTCAGCGCCGAAATCTTTGCAATCGTAGCCCAAAGCTGTGAAACCGGAGATTTTAAAAGTGTGTCGTCGAACATGTGCAGAGTGCCTTGCAGTCACTCCTGAACCATGCACAACCACACGATTGGGATGGGAGGGGGGGGAGGTGACAGAGTTTTCGGGCTCGATTTCTAATCAGCCCCACTTCTCAGGCTAGAAACTGTGTCTGAAATCCTGTACCCACTTGGCTGCGACTCCGCCGCGTTGAACTCCGTGGGACTTCCTACGCAGTAAACAAGTACAGGATTGCACCGACCAGCGCCGAGTTTACAGAAGCGATTTAAAGCAACCCCCCCCGCCAAACAGAGGAACTTTACACCCGCACTTCCTTCATAGGGGTGCCCTCCCCGCGCCTTCACGGTCCTCCAAGCTTGGGCTCCTTTTCCATGTCCACCAAACTTTCTTGGCCAACGCAGCCTCCCTGCCCAAAGTCTCCTAGAGCAACCGACCAAAGTTGCACTCTATGCATGACCGCGAACAGCCTTTCCCTTTCCCCATCCCCGTGCCGAGAAGAGAAAAAGCATGCGTGTAAGGCGGCTTTCCTCTCAGCCCTAGGTAAACACTGCCCAAGCCGCATGATGGATCGCCCGTAGTTTCTCTTCCATAGCCAGCCCGAGATTTCCCAGCCGGCTGGCTGCAGAAGGCAGGCTATTGTTGGGGTGCGCGTGGATGGATGGACGCCTAGATGGGCGGAAAGGAAGCCGGGGGGGGGTGCAAGTGCACCGCCAGCAAGGAAGTGTCTCTCTTTCTTGTTACCTGCAATCACGCCGGGCTGCGCCTAGGATCTCCTGGCGAGAGCTTGTCCATGGCAAAGGGTGGCCGCGTCTTTTCGCCTCGCTCGCAGCGGCTCGCTTTGGAGAGAGCAGCAGCCACAGCAGCGCGCTAATGGAGACATTGCTCAGTGTATGGAATACCTGACTGGAGTCAGTCCGACGAGTGAGTGCCTCCAGTCCCCAGGCGCCACAGTCACTTCACTAACCCCCTGCACCGGAGTGACGTTCGAGTGCAGAGCTGCGCTTACCGCGCGCCTTTTCCTCCTCCTGATTAACACTTTCCAACGCTGCCCTCGCTCGCTCGCTCGCTCGCTGCTGGTGCTGCTGCTGCTCCTACACCCTCCCCCCGCTCGCAACTTGCGCTGCTGGCCGCTGCCTGCGCAGGTCACAGCTCCGCCGGTTCGAGTCCGGAGGGAGGGCAGTCCTCTTGCATCCCTAAGACCAGCAAACGCGCTCTTTAAAAACCAGGCGCCACATTTCTATAGCTCTTTAGATTATCTTCCAAGTTCTTCAGAACCGTCGTCGTAGTAGCTATCCCCCTACAACAACCCTGGAAGGTAGGTCGATTACCTGCGGATGGAGGTAGGGGAGGTGGGGGGGGGAGAGAGAAAGCACCGAGGCTTGTCATCAAACACTAGTTGGGGCTTGAGATGAGATCTGAACCCGGGGCTTCCTAGATCACTGCCCACTGCCCTCTTAGCAACTATGCTATAACTATTGGCTCATTTCTGCAGCACTTTCATTGTCCAAAGCTATTTCTGACCCATTTCCAGCTTAGCATTATTTGGGACCCATTTCCACAGGGAGCCACGACTGGGAAAGATGCTCACACCCTGTGCCCCTGGCAACCAAGAAGCTGACAACAATATCAAAATTTGTGAAAACCATTTAGCCTTATAGTGCAATCCCATGCAAATCTATTAGGTCAGTTCCACTGGGATTTGCTCTCAAGTAAATTCCCACTGAATTGCAACCTTGCAACATAGGCCTAGGTATCTTTACTCAGAAGTAAGCCTCACTGTGTTCAGTGGTGCTTACTCCTAGATATGTGTGCCTAGGATTGCAGATTTATAGTGTGATTCCCTATGTTGTCTGCTCAGAAGTAAGTCCCACTGAGCTCATGGGATTTACTTCCAGGTAAATTAGCACAGGTAAAGGTAAAGGGACCCCTGACCATTAGGTCCAGTCGTGGCCGACTCTGGGATTGCGGCGCTCATCTCGCTTTATTGGCCGAGGGAGCTGGCGTACAGCTTCTGGGTCATGTGGCACAGGATTAGCACAGGACTGCACCCTTAATCTTATTCCAGCCCTCCGAGCACTGTCCAGATTTGATTTACTTCCTTTCCTCCTAATGGGCAATTTAGGTTGGGCCATACAACCCACATCCCCCAGTCTGAACTTGCCAAAGTGCCTTCTCCTGGCACACCAGGTGGATGTGGAATCTGCAATTTTAAATCTATCCAGAAGGAATCTTTCATTAAGGGTCCAGATCCAATTAGATGGGAAGTTCCTCAGCTTTGGAAGAAACAGGCAGAGGAGCAGAAAGAGGGAACACTAAAAACAGATCCACAGGGACAGGAGGAGGGAACTCTAACTGAGGCCTGGAAATAAAGACCTTATATCTAATGCCTTTATATTGGGAGGAAGATAAGAAATTACCCCTGGGATCTGAATGCTGTTCTTTATTTGTGCTTGGGCGGTTCGCGCGGTTGAAATATAGGTCCCCAACCTGAAACAGACTGCAGTTCAGTTGATGCATTCGGTAGAATTAAATGGCAAAGCTCTTCCTTGGCCTGTATCACTTCAGTCTGCAAAGGAAACTCCATCTTAGGAAGAAAGAACCTCCTTCCAGATTCAAAACAAGCAGACGAGGGAGAAGAATGCAGCCGGGAGTCTTCCTCAAGCGCACTCCCCACTGCTGCCTTCGAAAATTGCAATGCTTAACAAAGTAGTTCAATCCAAAGGGAACGAAAGCTTAGCCCACGTGATTCTGCCTGCTGAAACTATAAATGATTGCCAAAGCCACCTAACAGGGCTGAATTCAACAAAAAGCAAGGCAGCTACAAGCCAAATGACCTTGTGAATGGCTACCTCTGAATTAATGGCCCTGCTTACCTTTACAGTGGTACCTCGGGTTAAGTACTTAATTTGTTCCGGAGGTCCGTACTTAACCTGAAACTGTTCTTAACCTGAAGCACCACTTTAGCTAATGGGGCCTCCTGCTGCTGCCGTGCCACTGGAGCACAATTTCTGTTCTCATCCTGAAGCAAAGTTCTTAACCTGAAGCACTATTTCTGGGTTAGCGGAGTCTGTAACCTGAAGCGTATGTAACCCGAGGTACCACTGTACTTGAAGGGAGCACTACTTATTTCAATCACACTCACAATTGAGAATTCCCAAAGACCGGTCTTTTGCAAGAGGCTGTGCGAGTCTCTTGAAGCAAAAACCACAGAGAGTCTTGTGGCACCTTCAAGACTAACACATTGATTATGGGATAAGCTTTCATGGAATCCGGCCCATTTCCCACCCCGCTGGATATATGCACCTGCAACTCAGGATAACACTTCGTGCATATGACGAAGTGGACTGCACTCCACAAAAGCTTATGCCATAATGAATTTACTTTTGAATAAATCGGCTTAGAACGGCCGCCTTTATTGTGGAATTGAGCCTTCGTATCGCTGTAATCCCTGCAACCTGCTAAAGTCTTTAAAGCTGTTGCTGGTGTATACTTCTGAGTAGAAGGGCAAACAACTTTTTACAGGCTGATCCTAAAAACATTTACTTGGAAATAAGCTCTCTGGCCTGCTACAAACCTTACTTCCAAAGATCAAGTTTCTTTGCCTTTCTCGTTGCCTGTTACATTTAAAGGTGGAGGAGCAAGAGAGAAAGTCAGGGATATCAGTTGTTTGGACTGGTGATACTCAGAATTGTAAACTCACTCAGAGGTCTATTACAGTCAGAAGTGTGGACTGGAACTTTTCAAAAGGAAAAAAAAAATAGTTACAGTTTGTATCATTGCACATTATGGTATATGAAATATGAAAAAAAGATATATTTATACATTTATATAGCACTTTAAGATTTCCAAAGTGCTTCACGGACAAAATCTCTGTAATCCTTACAAGGAATCATTTAATGTAGGCCAGTAGAATTACAGTATTTCCATATTTGAAGAATGAAGGAGCAGACACTTCATATTTTGAAACTTGAATTCCTGTTCCTGAACTCAGACTTGACATTCTGCAGACTGTATCCTAGCACTGACACTGGAGTTTAATCACCATCTGCCCGCAAGTAAGGCAAACCTCCAAGTTTTGTGCTGAATAAAATCCAGGAGTTTCACTGTGAAATCTGAAGATAAAATGTTAGAAATTCAGAATCAGAAACTTAAACAAGAATCCCAAATGGAAAATTCACACGGTTTACAAAGTTGTATGGTGACAAAGAAGGCTAGCTCTGTTAGCTCATCAGTCTTCCTATTTTAAACATAGAAGCCTTGTAACTCATACAAAATGTGTGTGATGGGGAGGGAAAGAAGGAGGACAGTTCAAGGGAAAAAAAATATAGCCCTCAAGTAGTGCAATTGCTTAAACAGCAGGAGTGAAGTCGAGCTTGTTTAGGGCATGAGGAGTAAGTGAGTAAGCCAACCTTCATCACCCTTGCACCCTCCAGATGTTTTAGACTACAACTCCCAGCAGCTGCACATCTGGAGTGCATTCAGGTTGGCGAAGGCCGAAGTAAGTCATCAAATTTCCACTGCATCTATTTGAGTTCCCTTGTGGTTTTGGTACACTGCTTCTTGCTCATCTCCAAATAGCAAAACATTGAGCCTAATGTACAAGGACCTGCAATGGGGGACGCTTCTTTTTCCTCACGCTGAATTCATGACGTGATGTTGCAAGGACTGAAATACATTAGAAAGCCCTTCAGGGCTTTCAGAGTGAAAGGAAAGTTATTAATTTGAATTATGGCAGCGCATATATTTAAATATTAACTATTTACCTGGCACTGACCTGCATTTATCCAGACCTGCAGTTGTACAGGACTGTTGCAGAGCTTTTAAAAATGGGAAGAGGGTTAGGGGAAACACAGAGGATCGCCTGTTCTGGCCACTTTCCCAGTGAGACCAGAGCTCCCTTTCTTTAATGCAGCCATTTGAAAGATTTTGAGATGGAAATTCAGCATATAGATCCTTCAGAAAGTTCTGGGCTGTGGTTTTTGAACAGAAAATGCCAGTTCACGCACATGGAATATATCTTAGATTAGAAGCAACCACATGTGAGAAAAAGCTCGTGGCTTCTTACCTCACTGCAAAGCAACATGGCGAGGGGGCAATTTGGAGCAGAGAAATGACAGGGGAAAGGGGTGTTCACACATTAAACCTCAAACAGGGTGGAGTAGCTTGGAAAGTGGCAACACAGGAAGGCAGGGCAGGATTAGAACCTGAATCAATGCTCTTTGTTTTATATTGCCCCCGCTTAAGCGGTCTCGGTCCAGGATATCTGAAGGAGCGTCTCCACCCCCATCGTTCAGCCCGGACACTGAGGTCCAGCACCAAGGGCCTTCTGGCGGTTCCCTCCCTGCGAGAAGCTAAGTTACAGGGAACCAGGCAGAGGGCCTTCTTGGTAGTGGCACCCGCCCTGTGGAACGCCCTCCCACCAGATGTCAAAGAGAACAACAACTACCAGACTTTTAGAAGACATCTGAAGGCAGCCCTGTTTAGGGAAGCTTTTAATGTTTGATGTATTACAGTATTTTAATATTTTTTTGGAAGCCACCCAGAGTGGCTGGGGAAGCCCAGCCAGATGCGCGGGGTATAAATAATAAATTATTATTATTATTATTATTATTATTATTATTATTATTATTGCTGCATTTTTCTCAAAGAACTGGCTGCCAAGGTCTATTAGTTATTTATTTATTGCATTTGCTTTATATTCCGCCTTTCTCTCCCAGTGAGAAAAGGGCACCTAACCCTTTCCCCTAATCTCTCATTGTTCTTTGGAAAAGGAATATGATGCTCAGGGCCTGAAATGGTTGGAATTTGTATTCCAGAATAATTTATATATCCTTCATGGGAGTCATGCAGATGTTTTGAAGGGTTGGTGTACGTATTTGAACAAAAATGGTAGAAGTGCTGTCAACCACATAATAATAATAATAATAATAATAATAATAATAATAATAATAATAATTATTATTATTTATTATTTGTACCCCACCCATCTGGCTGGGTTTCCTCAGCCACTCTGGGCGGCTTCCAACAAAGATGAAAGATACACTAAAATGTCACATATTAAAGTGACATTATAGTGGTTCATCTTTGTGAAAACCTGCTAGTTTAGTGTTAGAAAGAATAGAAAGATCACTTTCCAGTACAGTGGTACCTCGGGTTAAGAACTTAATTCATTCTGGAGGTCTGTTCTTAACCTGAAACTGTTCTTAACCTGAGGTACCACTTGCTGCTGCTGCACTGCCG